GAGATTCACAGAATTTACAGAAAATGTTACATTTTTGTGATTTATATCGTTATCGGGACGATAGATTTCTTATATCGGGATATGAGATTTTGGTCATATCGCACAGCCCTACACGGTGGCATATCTTGACATGAACTAAGCTCACCTTCTTCCCAGCATGCTTCAGGGCCAGGGCCAGCTCTGTGGTGATGGTGCTCTTTCCCACTCCTCCTTTCCCTGACAGAACCAACACAACGTGTCGGACCTGACCCAAGTTTCCATCTGATTTAAGAAGCAGAAAAAACTAATAAATTAAGCATTTATTAGTTTAAATTTAAACAAGCTCTGAGACACTCTACCTAATCTCCTAATCTGGAAACAGGTTTTAGATAGTGCGGAGGGCACGAGCCCAGTTCACAAGTTTAGCATCAAGTTACTGTCGTTACAGTGCACAGTAACTATATAATTATACATGTTTATAACAAACTTCACTTTTCTAAGGCGATGAAGGCCTTTTACTGAGTATTGAACGACACGGTGGTTAAACCTTAGCAAACGACAGTCAAACATAATCTGAAACGGTCAGTTAGCTTCTGGTAGTTAATTGGCTAAATTAACCGTCAACTACCGTCTCCTAGCATGACAATACACAAAATATATGAGAATTAAAAACTGCAGGTATCTGCGAATACTTTTGTTCGCCGGTAACTTCGACTTACCATTGATTTCTTCCATATTTTGGATATCAAATATGCACACAGAACATGAGGCATCAACTTCCGATATAGTCACGCAGCACCTATCCAATCATACAATACATCCTACATCCAAGTCCCGCCTTCCTTTAAACACAACCAATAGGTTTCTGAAGGGTAGTGCGCTGCATTCAAGAGCGAAGCAAACGTTAAAAAACACAGAGTAAACTCGCCCATGACTGTATGATAATGGTGATCATTATGAGTATTTTAATCTGGGTCGAAATCTAAAGTCCTACCACGCCAATTTTTTATATTTGGTTAAAACTGTTATCTGATCAGAAAGCAACAGTTTTAATTAAATGACGTGTTTAAAATACTTTACTTCTGTGTAAACGCTTTTTGGAGAAAAGCAGAAAAAAATGCTTTCATTAACGTTGCTGTTGCGTAAAGACTGGGAACACACAAAAAAATCACAGAGCAACTTGTTGGGACGGATGAATATGGTTTATAGTTTTTGGGGTTATATAAGACTTTAGACTATAAGACTTTATTAGGAGAGGAGTGCCAAGCCCATTTTAGAGAAATTTGGGAGTGACGCACAACACCCATGCCCATGGATTTGATTTTTCTCTTTAGCGTTCTCTCTTTTTCTTAAATGTATCGCATTGAAGATGTGTTTTCACAATTCGTCTTTCCATTTCAAACACAAAACTTCGCCTGAAATAGACACGTTTTCAGCCTTTTTTCTCTTTTTTCTTTTCTTTTCTTTTTTTGGAGACATACAGTGTGGGAAATACAAACACAACAGTACAGACCAAAACATCTCAGTCAGGCACAGTCTGCCTTTTTATTTATGAAATAATTTACAAATAATTTATTATAGAAAGGGACTATTTTTCCCCTTCTTTCCTTTCAGTTAGTTTTCAGTTTTCAGTTTTATTTGTCATATACAAGTTAGCACAGGGTCAGCATCGCAATGAAAATGTATTTGACGAGCAGAAGGCAGTCACTCAGCAGAATGGTACAGTAGAAGAAAAA